CTGATATCATTCCAGGCGGGCATTTTTGCCTATTATTATCGTGTGACATTTGGTCCAGTGCATGTTGTTCGCTTGTTTTTGTTTTGTTTTGTTTTGCAGCTTGGAATAGAAGTGGTTCTGATTGTTGCAGATTCTTTATTTTTGTGGAAACGTAAATGGATTTACGTCCTCGGGGACACAATTTAGATTTTTTTGGTAGTCGGGCTTCGATCCTGCTTCTCAGAGCCAACCCAGGCTGTAAGGCATACATTATCACAGCAGAAAGCCCAGATACGAAGGGGGTGGGGGGGCTCAATAAGTCTTTGGTCCGGGCATGAAGGAATCATAGTAGAGTAATGAAATTTCGCTAGTCTTTAGACAAAGTGTTTGAAACACACCATGCAAATTGTAGGGGAAATCCAACAATAATAAGGCACTAGTCAGGGTGTTCAATGAAACCAGGGACAAAAATATTTGGTTTTTCTTTGCTGCAGCTGTGCAAAGGAGCCTGTTGAATATCGCTCAGTTATCAAGTTTTTACACTTGCAAAGAAAATCCCCATAGGACATTTTCCAGGAAATTTTCCAATTTATGGTGACAAATGTCCTCGTTATAATACTGTGACATACTGGTTAAGAAAATTCAAATCTGGATTCATGTCGGGGATGGATGAAGATCGTGAAGGGCGCCCATCCTTTGTGGTGACTGAAGAGAATTTATCCATAGTAAAGAAACTGGTTTTATAAGACCGACGCATAACTGTCAAACAGCTCTCAAGTGAAGCAGGAATCAGCGATTCACCATGACCATCTTAACATGAATAAGGTGTCTGCACGGTGGGTACCCCGCCTTTTGACAAGTGATCAAAAGAAGCAGAGAGTTGAATCCTGCAAAACTCTCCTTCGATTTGAGTCCAATGACAAAAATGTATTTAAATACATGGTGAGTATGGATGAAACATGGATTTATTATTTTGGTCCAGAACAAAAAGAAAGTCCTCCATGCAATGGAAAACCTCTTCTTATCCCTCACCAAAGAAGGCAAAGGTAACACCGCCAAGTGGAAAGGTCAAGCTGTCGTGTTTCTGAGATTGTGAAGGTATTATCATGACTGACTACCTGGAAAATGGAAAAACAATCACAGGAGACTACTACTCTAGTTGCTGATTAAACTGCGGTCCGAATTGGTGAGAAAAGGGAGTGGAAAACGCCGTAGCGGGGTCACCAGACCGCAGAACAGAGCGCTTTGAAATCCTGCCACACCCAGCTTAATCACCAGAACTAGCCCCTTCGGACTTTATTTTTTCAGTTTCCTAATCTTAAAAATTACCGAAAGGGCGTCCTTTCCATGACAACGAGGACGCCATTGAAGCTGTGGAAGACTGGTTAGGGGCTCGTTCCGGGTCATTTGTTTTCTTAAGGACTTTTGAAGATCAAAGGGAAGTGGCACACATGTATTACACTGCATAGTGACTATGTAAGGAAATGAAATTATGTGTGCCAAAGTTACAAAGCTCTGTCTCTATTCCTTCATTTAGACCAAAGACTTCTTGAATCCCCCTCGCAATTCTTCCCACATGGGAACTGAACTTGGATCTTCTGTGTGCGGTTATGAAGCATCTAATCAATTCTACACATTGCCGGTTTGCGGAGCTTTACTTTCATTGTAAATGCCCTCGGATGCCCTAACTGGATTTACTGTCGTATGTAAAAAAGAAAGAACAACAAAATCAGGGGTCTCTTGTGGTCTAGAGGTTACGTTGTTCGCCGTTCACGTAATAGGACCCAGGTTCTAAACTAGAAAGCGGTGGAAAACTTTCTTCTCTAAAATATTTTCCTTTCACCTACTGTTCTGCTCTCTGAAAATGTTCTGTCGCCTGCTTTCGTCTCCACATTCAGTATCCCCCTCCCCCTTTTCCCCCCTCTGCTCTGGGCTCCTGGCTCTTTCAGCAGCTATTCAACTTTCTAAATTCTACTGCTACTTCTTGGCTCTTTCTTACTGCCTACTTTCAGCCACACCCATGATCTTAGGGTAGGTAAGATCCAACATCTAGCCTTCTCGGAAAAGGGAGAAAAATCTCGGAGGTCCTGTGCGTAAGTTGCGCAAGATCCCTTGGTAGTTCAAAATCGATAAGAGTCGGCTTTGACCGCCTCCCGGAAAACAAATTCAAAATTCCAAACTAAAAATGTTTAATGCGCCCTGGGCGGCAGTTGTGTGTGTGTATATATATATATATATATATATATATATATATATATATATATATATATATATATATATATATATATATATATAATATATATACTTATATATATGTATATATATTATATTATTATATATATCTATTTATAATAATGTATTATAAATATACATATAAACTAATATCTTTCGAAACAGAATCACCACCATTCTGGGGTATCTTTATGTATCGTTAACAGTGCATGCATGTATTTCCAAATATCACCCTCAGCCTATCTACACTAAAGTTAATTTAACCTCTGTTTTAAATGTGGGTTGCGATTTATAATTTTTTGGGGTGTATTTGTTTGTTTTTGGCTCACTCTAAACCAATAATTTTGTATTTCATTTTTTCCTGAACCAAAGACGAATTTGAAGCGGCATCACTGTACTAACATTACGAGGAAAGCAGAATAAAATTAAGACGATAACGTCATGTAGGTCTGCAAAACATTATACTATTGACAATTCCAACAATGAAAAGGAATGAAATGAGATAAGTTAAAAGTTATCCGTGGCACTACAAATTCATCAACATGATAATGATTCCCTTTTCATAAATGCACACCTCCCACCCCCATACGGTTGCTGAATGGTGGAAATGGGGAGTAACAAACAGGCGGAGGTAGCATTGCCAAGAGGTAGGACTTTGGGACAAACACACATGAACGTCTCCATGCTTAGATAAACGTGCGTAGGCGATATTAAATAAATGTTGCTGAATGCTTTTTATAATCGCTCATTCCTCTCTCCTTAATTCAAATTAGTTGAGGACGGAGATTTGTATTTAAAAGACTTCTCAGTGTCTGGTTGGGTATCAGGCGCCTAAGGTGTCGACAGTTTTCCAATACATTGAGGTTAATGTTGCAGCTATGTTAGTCTTCATGCCTTTAAGAGATGGTGATCGGGTGGGTTACCGGGGTGCGGTGGGGTTGTGGGATAGGGAGGAGGGGAGTTAGGGGAAGGGGGTTGTGGGAGGAGCGGGGTGGATATATATCTTCAAGCTGGTTGTCATTAAAAGCCATCTGATTAAATGCACATATTATATATTCTTAAAAAAGAAAGACTAAAAAAAACCCCACAGCTTTAATTCAGAGTCATCACGAAACACATAAATCATACTATTTGATAAAATCTGCTTCCCACACACTTCCGAAATGATTGCACTGCACAGGGCACTTTCTGCAAGCGGGAACTGCCACACCCCTTAACAAGGCCGAAACCTGTGGCATGCAGATACTGGTTGGCAGAAGGCGTGAAGGGAGATACCCATCAATCTACTCATTAGCGTGACCTGGGAGAAACTGTTCTTGATTATTCCCAGATCCTGTATTCTTTTTTTGTGTATATTTTCGTCTTTCTTCTAATCAATAATGGGTTCCTTTTAGGTTCACAATCAGAGTGGTATTTTGTTCCAGGCAACTCGTAAAGTTTGTACAGGGTGTCTTAAAAAAGAGGACCCTCTTAAAGGGCAATAGCTCTTTCGTCTCTGCTCTAATTTCAACAAAATTTCGAAGACATGAAACTCAACCATGATTACGCCACTTTTTATATATGAAGAAAATCAATTGACGTGTTCAAGAAATGTCAAGTTTTAAAAATCTCAACCAAAATTTGATAAAACACACAGTTCTACTTCTTATAATCATTCTGCTACAGGGGCAATTTTGACCCGTTCTAGCTTCAGGGCAGGAACGGTAAAACCACACCAGTCACCTCATATAGATATCTAAACGTTCCGAGAAAGTTTTGTAGATTTTTGTGGAGAATGTGCTAGGCTGTGCAGGCCTGGTTCCAGTGGGATGGGGCTATAACCAACATATTGGTTCTGATATGGTTGCAAGAAAGTTTTTTTTTATTGTATAGGTTTTATGGCGCTCGAAACTGCATTGGGTGCCAGAAGATTAGGGGTGTTACAAGAGAGTAACAAACATAAAAAAGAAGAAGGGAAGATAAGGACGATAGATGTTTGATAAGAAAGAAGGAGCAAACCCCACCAGAGCACCCGAAAACCTCCCATAAGAAAGGTTTGGGGAACACCTTATGAACTGAACATTTACAAACGAATGGTTACCGCATTACCCAAACTTGAGCCCCATAAATCATTACCTTTGGAGGTTTTGACAGACAGAGTGTAGAGAAACAACCCACAAAAAAATCGAACAAAGTTAATTCGCAAAGTTGAACAGGACGTCAAACGAATTTTTACCAAAAAATGTGCAACAGGGTTATTCAAAATATCTAGTGGCATAGTGTTTGTGTAGAAAGAAATGGTCTACACCTTTAGATTATAAATATAGCGAATACCTTTATTTAGGTGATTTAGCAATATCAATTTGTATTATTTTGTTCTTCAATGCACAAATAGCGACTATGTAAAATAGAACAATATGGCTGATTTTTTAGCTCTTGCATACTTTTGCGTTTCAGTCGATTTTGGTTGATATTTTTTAAATTTGCTATATTTAAAAAGAAATTATAATTTTTGTTTTCATATAACCCATAGTGAAATCTCCTTACTTGGATTTTTCTTCTGCGAAGCTTTGATAAAATTCTTCCAAAGATAACCGAGTTATTCCCGTTTAAGCAGGTCCACCTTTTTTTTAGACACCAGGTATTTCTTGTAAACCTTTCTTTGGTTCTCAGTATGGCAGCGATCGTTTTAAAATACATAGCAAAATCCCACAAGGTTCCAAACGAGCATTTTTTGCTTCTTTGTTTGTGCAAAGGACCCTGGCCTTCACTAAACTGCAACTGACTGTATTCCGTTTCCTCTTCCACAGCAAATGTCTCGAAAGCCTGTTTGGAAAATGGCACTTGGGGCCCAGCCAATTACAACGCGTGCATGGTCAGCGAACCCATGAATAACATATTGGACTATCTGGTCAGTACCAAAAAGAAAAGAAAATCAATTGAATTGCTTTACGTCATTGCCAACACAATTTAGATCATACTGGAGCTCACTCAACAGAAAGGCATCATAATTTTTTGTTGTTGTGAATAGCTTCGGTTTCCATTTATTTTGAGCCTTGGGATTTTAAACGTTTGAGAACCCTGTCATGTCGAGCAATATTTTTTCAACGCTATAAATAGGTTGGTGTGAAAGGGTACGATTCCCCGACACGGGTGGCTTTTGTAATGCGTCCATCTGAGGTTGTAATAACATAATATGCTATTTACCGTACGGTTCTGATTTCACTATAGTTTTTATCCTAATATCTGTGGTTCAAACAAGTTAACTCCCTTATGAACACATGTTATTTGAAATTTCCAATCCGTAAAATTACATGCAAGCATAGAGTCATAAATAGAAAGAGGATAAAAAAATAACGCCCTCTAGTATCTTTAGGATTAAAAGTACGATGTCATGATATGAGTCACGCTGTAAGTCATCACATGTTTTTGACAGAACAAATTATTTTTTACAAAAACAATGAGGAAGCCTTAAATTAATCTTCAGGGCAGAACTACGGGTATTTGTTCAATTATAATGAAAAGAAATTGATATAAGATGAATGGTAAAAGTTTAATTTAAATCGATGTATGCAGTAAAATGTTATCTGCAAAAAAAATATCTAGCTCAACAGTTTTTATTCTTGAGCGAACCATTTATTATCCACAGGACCCCAAAGACCTCATGGGAGTTCGCATTATCTACAATATCGGATACACTAGCACTACCATTACCCTGTTCATCGCACTTTTCATTCTGCTTTACTTCAGGTGAGAGACAACTGATATTTTTTTACGTGCCCAACCATGTACAAAATGACTCCATCGGGTCAGTAAACCGAGCTAAGCTTAATTCCAAGACAAGTGAACATTGTAATACCGGGTGCCCACTGCGGATGGGATCTGGTCGGGTTGGGTCGACTGCCGTAATCGTTGCCTGACAAGGAACGCGTTTGTTTTTGAGGTGGCGAGTCGGGTGATCGGTTTGTGCCATGATAGACGCCCCTTTGCGCTCTCAATCTGGCTAGCAAACCCGACCCGATCGTGTCAGTGGGCACCCAGTATAAGATTATATCAATAATAATAATATCCAAAAATTGACGAGCTTCTGATTTCACAGTGTCTTGACACAATTATTCGCTACTTCCTGGCCCAGGGGGATGCAGCTGCATACTCCCTCATCGTGCACACATCGTCTACATGCCCAGCTTGTCCCCGTCACTACCTCGACCCCCCAAAAAAAACAACAACAAACAAACAAACAACAAAACAAAACAAACAACAAAACAAAACAAACAACAAACAAACAAAAACAGCAACAAACAAACAAACAAACAAAACAATTCTGAAATTGTTTGTTTACTCTACCGTGTAAAATATACACAGACAGATGTGACAAGGTGGACACAGACGAGAGGTAAATACAAGGGGAGAGAGAGAGAGAGAGAGAGAGAGAGAGAGAGAGAGAGAGAGAGATGGAGATTGGGGAGAGATAAATATTTAATGGGAGGGGGGAAAATTGAGACAGACAGAAAGAGAACGACGGGAGGTCAAAAAGATTTTGTTAGTGAATTAAACTATGTGCTTGAGGAGTAGCTATTCTTCAGACAACTTCTTTTTGACAGAACTGTAGGTGTCTTATCTACTTAGGAGTTGACAATTACTTAGATCATTGCGTGTACAACTTTTACCATACTTGGCATGTTATAGTTTTAGCTCTGATGGCCCAGTGTACGGGATTGCACTGACTTGCATACGACTGGTTGTAATAATTGGAAGCGACCATTGCCATAGGTCTAGACTTAGTTTATTCTTCTGAAACTAATACGGGTTTTTAAGTTTTTTCGTTTTTTAAATTGGTTTTATAGAGGGTGGTTGCTATAAAAAATCTAACTAAACTGAAAGGAGAAAGGAAAGAAAGAAGGAAAGAAGGAAGGAAGGAAAGAAGGAAGAAAGGAAGGAATAAAGATGTGAAAAACATGAGATATGAAAAGAAAAGAACGAGAAAAAGAAGACATCAATGTCAACTTCCAACGACAGCAACAACAACAACAACAACAACAACAACAACAAAACAGCAGCAACAGCAGTAGCTATAACAACAACAACAAAAACAACAACAACAATAACAACAACAATGACAGCAACAACAACAGTAGCAGCAATAATAATGACAGTAACGACAAAACAAACATCAACAATAAGAACTAAAGTACAAGAACAAAGCGATCAAACAACCATAAACTAGAAGAAAAAAAACAAGAATAAAAAACAGGCTAGGTCATGCTAAGTACACGACCAAGTGGACAAAAGATGGGAGAAGGGGTGAGTGGGTGATCAGATCCGAGTTTGTGTTACGAGGGCTGTCCCACGGAAAACCGGAATTTGGCTGTAATTTGAAAACTATTCAATATTTTCACATTCTGCAAACGCACACTTGTAACACAATCATTTAGGAATTTCCCGATTGAGAACCATGAGCATCGCACAAACCAAACAAACCAGCAGTTTCCCCAAAGATGGCTACCCCCTTGGCAAATTGGTAAAGGGTCGAAGTGAGGTCTGTCATTCGGTTTCTGACCGCAATAGGTCTCAAACCAACATAAACGACATTGTTTTTTCTGCCAAGGCTGAGGACAACTAGAGTCGCGTTAACGAAATCATTCAAACAGACAAGCGCCTAAAAGTTAGCGAAATTTCGGAGTCGCTGAACATTTCAAAGTCAACTGTGCATAGGATAGTGTTTGATGAGCTGCACTATCGAAAGGTCTCTGCTCGATGGGTCCCAAAGAGCTGACAGCTGACTACAAGACGCAAAGTGATAAAGTTTCTCAGACTTTGTTGAATCGTTGTCGCCAAGCTGTCACTGGAGTCATGAACGCATCTGGAGACCTCCAACAACACGATGAAGAATTCCTGAGAAACATTATTACAGGTGATGAGACTTGGATGCACAATATGACCCCTGAGACGAAGAGGGATTCAATGGTCCGGAAGCACACGTCTTCACCTCCCCCAAAAAGTTTAAAGTTCAGCCATCGGTGAAGAAACTCATGGTCACGGTTTTCTGGGATGCTAAGAGTGTTCTGCTGCTTGACATTCTGGAACCAGAACAAACTATTAATGCTAACAGATACTGCCAGACACTTTATACGTTGAGAGGTTGTGCACCAAAAATGACCAGGCCGGTTGTCCAGCGGGGTCATTTTGCAGCATGACAACGCAACGCCACACACCGAAAACGCTACGAAATACTGGAGCCAAAGTTCTGCCACAAAACCCTCACAGTCCTGACTTGGCCCTGTCAGATTATTCCCCTTCTGGACCAATGAAACGTCGTATTTCTGGACAGCGATTCACCGACGACGAAGATCTCGTGGAAGCCGTGAAATATAAGTAAAAATCCCTTGACGAAAAATTTTATGGACCTTATCCGGTTTTCCGTGAGACAGCCGCGTATTCATATCAACAATGCAATCGATGTTATTTTGTTTTTAATTATGCTGCATTCCGTTGGTTTTATTTTTAATTCTTAAATTGCATCAGAAACTCTATAAAACGCTTTATCTGATATTGACTAATTTCAGTGTCCTCCTTAAAAGATGCTCTCAGCCCTCCACGAAACAGATGTAATCGTAACCTAATAGGCATCCGGTTTTGGGGGGTTTGCGAAAAAAAAAGAAAAGGAAAGACATTTATCTGAAAAGGGTGGGATGTGAAACATGGATCATCCATGAACAAGATGCTAAAAAGCAGTACAGCTTTCGAAATAAAATGTTGTTGAAGAACTTTAACAATATCAAGGAGACAAAAAATACAGATTCTATAAGTACTAGAAATATATTCTGGAAGCGAAGGTTGAACGCAAGAGAGGCAGAGAAGACTGAGCAGAAGATGGGCACAGGACATAAAGACCTAGCTTGAAAGCAAAACAACTCAGGCGTTCAGAATGGCAAGAGACAGGGTATTTTATTGTAGGAAGGTCCGAGAAGCATCGTCTAACTACTGGAAAAGCCTTGTAGAAGAACGCTCCTTTCTACCCTTTGAGATCATGTTTACGGCGGTTCTACTGACGTATCATCAATAGGACTGAGTTCAGATACCATAAACCTTTGAGTCTAACACTTGTTCTTTTTTCTTTTTCCCCAGGAGTTTGCGCTGTCTCAGAAACATTATCCATTGCCATTTCATCGTTGCTTTTATCTTTAAAAACATATTCTGGCTTGTGCTACACAACGGGCTTGCTAGAGTTCTGATCTCGGGACCCCCGAAGGTGAGTCGTTATTTTGGACAACATCGGGTGCCCTGGTGTGGTTTGCTCCTTCTTTCCTATTAAACATCTATCGTCCTTATCCCCCCTTCATCTTTTTTACGTTTGTTACTCTCTTGTAACACCTCTAATCTTCTGGCGCTAATATGACCGTATGCAGTTGCGAGCGCCGTAAAACCTCTACCAAAACTAACTCAACTATCTATACATAGTCGTGTGGTCATATACAACGCTGCTATACCACTATAAAAGAAATACTCGAAGGCAAGATGTGGGGCACAAGGGTGAACAAAGAACGATTTGGATCAACATCATATTATAGACACCGCTGTCTATGACAAACTTCACAATAGTAGCCAACAAACGTGAACAGTGGCGTTCATTATGTACGTCAACCTCAGAGCCAGAAAAGGAACTTTCTTGTATCCATGATGAACTCTGATAAAGGCTCTTATAAGACATTATAATTCCTTTTGTTGGCCACATTAATCATGTTTAGGATATCGGTCGCCTATTGACTAAAACGGTTAGATTGTAAGACGCTTACCACTTTTATTTACAATTTCCCTCTTAATCAGTTCCCAAGAGAGGAATAATAATAATGGTAAATAATAATAAAATTAACAACAAGAATAATAATAATAATAATAATAATGATAATAATATTAAAAATAATAACAATTGTAACGGATCACCATCATCGTCATCATCATCAGCAGCAACAAATAAATGTGTAGCGCAATTCCCCGCTCGTCAGCATGTTCTATGCGTTTTACAATCTGTATAATTTAATTAATCTTTTCTCTTATTCCATTCCAACGTTACCGCTTTGAATTGTTCTTTGTCCTTCTGTGTAATATTGGGGTTGTTAACTTTACTTGGAACGAGATGTGAACAGACGTCGGGATGATTCGTCATTACTCTCGGTCTTGTAACAAAAGCGATATATTAAACAATGCATGCGAATCAAGTAGCATTATAAACGCCATCAGAGCAGTGCATCATGACCACATTTTAACGTACCTAGATACATTGTCTAACATTCACACACACACAAAACACACACCAAACACACACACACACACACACACACACACACACACACACACACACAAACACACACACACACACACACAAATAACACACATCTTTTCCTCTTTTTGCTTTGTTATTTATTAAACAACGCTAATTGCAAGTTTACCCCTTCAGAGAGCACTGCTAACAACAAACTGTTTTTTTCTTTCTATTTCAGTGGGTGTGCAAAGTATTCGTCTTTGGTTACAACTACTTCCATACCACCACCTTCTTCTGGATGTTTGTTGAGGGTCTTTACCTTTTCACCATCATCGTATGGGCGTTCTCTACACAGAAGATACGGATATGGCATTACGTCATTATTGGTTGGAGTGAGTATGTCTAATGTGCAGGTTTTATACGCCCGTACATGTCCTAAACGGACAATTACAAACGGTCTGATTTTGTTTTATGGAAAAATGTTATTGTTGATAGGGATTTGACAGAAGGGATTATACATTTCATTTATTTTAAAAGCTAGAACTTAACCTGTAAACATCTTTTTAAAGCTTTGTACTTTTAGAGCATGAGTCGAGTTTAAGTAAAAATGATGCAAAATAAAAATAAAATTAAAAGCTTTTACTTGGCTCTTTATGTATCGATCTATGATAAATTAGTTGTCCACATTTCATGCATTTGCTAATTAGTTCAAGTAATTATTCAAAGAGCTGGAAATGGGACGTCAACATTCTTCTAGTAGAAATCTTAAGCAAGTATGCAGGAAACACAAGTGATGTGAAGGAGGTGAGAACGGTGCATTTTGGAATGCTCTGGGTTTTTTGTTTCATCTATCGGTGTGTTCTTTTTTCTTATTTAAAGAAAAGTGCAGTTTTTTCTGTAACAGAAACCAAGACTTGTATTATAATATCCAAGACTTTAAACTTTAACGTTATTCCGGTTCACCGTGGAACATACTTTTGGGCTCTAGTTGAAACTAACTGAAGGGCAAGGAGGGCGAGGTTGCACATGCACTAGAGCATAGCGAGACTGGAATTTGTCCATCTTTTTTTGTAACAGCGCAACGTTTCATTGTTATTTTTATTTTTAAAACAAAGAGCAAATGGCCTAGGCCATGACAGTGCCAGGTCTAGGAAATTATCATTCACATCTATGTAAGAGGATGAAACCTTTTACGGTAACAGGTAACAAAAAATACCAAGAACAATGTATGAATTACATTTAGAGGCCTACGGAAAGACGCTCAATGAAAGAGGTTGATGTGCAGTTGCTATTCTATTTTTTCCCTTAATTTTACAAAACTTTAGACGACTTTACTTGTTGACTGGCAGTGGTGCTGTACACACACACACACACACACACACACACACACACACACACACACACACACACACACACACACACAAACACACACACACACACACACACACACACACACATATATATATATAGTATACATATATAAAGAGAGAGAGACCGACAAACAGACAGACAGACAGACAGACAGAGCGACAGATAGACAGATAGACAGATAGATGGATAGAAAGATAGATAGATAGATAGATAGATTATATAAATATATTCTACTGTACATTATCAATTTTTTGGTTTTCTTAACAGTCATCCCCATGGTGTGTGTGTTGGCGTGGGCAGTAGTCAAAGCGAATCTGGAGGATCTAGTGTAAGTAGCCTGCCTGTTCCACGCTTTGTGTATGTGCCATGTCAATAATGTAAGTAAGTTTATTCATTGTGTAAGGCCATTGGCCCACATCACATTATACAAAACAGTCATTTGGTTAAAAAAAAATGTTTCCATAATGGAAGAGAACAGATTGTGCCCCTATCTTTTATCATGGTCCAAACATTGCATATTTCTGTAACAAGGCCGAGTCAGGCTGGGAAGAATTAACAATTTCCTCTATTGGACAAAACTTGGACAAGAGAAAAAGAAAGTGAAATTTATTTTCAATTTAATCAGAGTTAAACCTCTCACATAAGGGTGAATTTATTAATTTCCACCTATAGAGAGTGTTATTTAATGGAGGGCTAAGAGTCTTTAACACAGCTATGACTCTGACTGAAGTTGTCTGTAGGCCATTCCCTAAGGGGGGAATAATAACAACATGTTCTTATGCACAGTAGAATTGAAAATGGGGTGATTTATCAATGTTATGCTCATACTGTGCCCGAACAACATAGGGGGAACTGCTGCGTTGTCTTTCCCAATCCTAGCTATAGCCACTTTCCTCTAATTCTTTTGTATGTTTGTCCCTCTCTTGAGAACTGCTATTTCCGGGGTGCCTTAATAGTCGAAGCAGGCGTTGTGCTGTTGAGGCTAGAAAGGTGAGCAGAGTAAGCCAAAGTCCACGTGTGGACTTCTCTGTTGGCATCCATCCTTTGGCGCTCGTATGACCTTGTGCAGCTGCGAGCGCCGTAAAACCTTACTAAAACAAAAAAGACCGTTCAGAGTGGTTGGTTGAAGGATGGCGTAAACAGATTCTACTTTTTCATTACATCCTTCTGTTGCTTCTGTTTTTAAATTGTGCTGTTTATTTGTTTTTTTTCTATCACTAAGTGACCATTAGTGTATTTTTCTCATTATTCAAACTGAACAAAAAGTGGACTCGGAGCTTCTTCCAATACTTCCATGATATGCAAAGCACTGGCACACTCTGCTATTACTGTATGAATCTGTCTGACGCATCAGACGTGCTTATTCACGCGGAGTTCACCACACCATTGATTTATTAAACAATGGGAAATGATGTGAACTGTGTGTGGGAATAGCTAATAACCAGGACGTGGTTATTTGGCAGGGATTTAACGCAGATCAATTGACCAGTCTTCGGTGACGGAACGATAATGTGACCATTTCCGGGCCAGTGCTATAACGAGATCGTTGAGAGAATTTCTGTCTTTCATTTTCCAACTCATAATTGGTGATCAGGAAATAGACGGGTCTCTATTTAAGTAGGACTCCAGACTCTTCCTTCTAATTTGAAAGAGACTTATAGAATCCCCACTGTCGTTTTTTTTAAAGGTATGCATATTATTATGATAGGTGACAATAAAGAGTTTTCTGAGTTGGCGTCAATATGATTTTAAGTGATTTAGTTTCTTTGGTTAGTAAGTAGGTTCAATTCAGAACTCATCACACTCAGGATAATTCAGTTTTTGCTTCTGATTAGAAATAAAGCAGGAAGATGTGTGTCTATTTATGCATGTTCCCAGGATCATGCACGTTCCTAAACGCCTCCTAAAAAAAAAGAAGAAAAAAAAGCACCTCACGACTCCGAAACCGAAATTGGAGGTATGTTTTTGTCATCAATCTGAGACCCTCTTGTTTGATCAGCGAAGCCATGTGTTACTTTGTTATTTTCCTACTGTTCGGGTAGGAATTAAAGACCAAGAGATCAGAACTATTTTACCCTTTGATGCCAAATTTTTAAAGATATTCAACTACAAGTAAGCAATGGGAAGTTTCATTTTCACTTTGCTTTGCTCTTCAGTTGTTGGCTGCCATTGCCGTATGTTGAGAGAGTGCCGGCCTATGACTTTGTCCTGTACGCTCCAACCATTGTGGTCTTGGTGGTAAGTATGCATTTTTTTCTCGTTCTTAAAAGTGAAAACGACAAAGAGATGCAAATGATTAACATTAATAGTCTTTTGGCTGTTTCCATACTTTAAAAAAAATTCATACGGTGAGAAATTTGTTTCGAGGTGGTTTCACAATGCTTCATGACTCCAGTGCTTTTTATCAGAATGAAATGTCAACCTTTAAAAGTACATTTTACTTCTCTTGGCCATCGAAATAACAGCTCCTCAAAATTGTGGAGGCCATTTACAAATCATTTAAGAAAAATGCACTTAGAAGGATTCTGGTTCTTTTATTGGAATCATTGTTTACCGGTTCGTTATAGTCAACAGCCCACAGATCTTCGGCAGATACAATCTAAGCAAGCCACATACATTTTCTTTAGCATTTTTTCTTCCCAAACGTCCATGTCATACTCCACCTACGATGCCCTTAGGTTCTCCAAGTCTTATGCAACCAAACCCAATGTTGTACGAGGAAGAAAGTCGCTCTGTTCCCAACAGTCGTGTTCTTCCTGGTTCTTTTAAGTCTAAAAAGCCCTAGCAGACACATGCATCCGCTCAACAGCAGACTGGAAGCAGTGTTAGTGTATGTTTCCTACTATCTTACTCAAAAAAGAAACGTACATTTTTGTATTGCACCACATGTATGTTCCTACTGCCTTTGTAAGTTCCGATAAAGAATATACAATTGAATGATATGAATGAATGACGACGTTAGGCTATATTTTTTCAAAATCCCCCAAATAGCTCGTCTTCAAGCGTTCTCGAAAGATCAGCAAGTCGTATTCAATGAGTTAACGTCCCCAGAACCATATGCCGTCGATCCCACTGTCCAATCATTCGTCTGCGGTTTTCTGTCGTTTCCATTAACTTCCCTTCCCTTTTCGCACATTCATTCCGAAAGACGCTACTCCCCTACCAATCCATCCAGACATGCCCACCTCCTTAGGAAACAAACGCTCCTTATTTCAAACAGCCGTGTGATTGGAACCACAACCGCATCCCGCCATCTGTCCCTTCCTCTTGCGACCCCCCCCCCCTAAAAAGCCAAACTCCCCCCACCGCCTCTTTCCCCCTCAACACAAGCACAGAGACAGAGCCTTCTCGACCTTCTTGTCTCCTATTATTTGTCCCTGCTAACAGAAATCCTATTGCGGGTGCTCGTGCATCGATCTTTCTACTCTGACGTCTCTTAGATCAAAGAAATAATCTGTATCAATTATTCGTTGGTCGGGTTAATAGATCACCGGTCTCCCAGACCTCATTGTTCTCTTGTTTTTGGCATGGAAAAAGAAATCATGTGTTATTTTGGCGTGACTATTCGATATTCATTTACAGTTTAATCTTTATTTAAGTTTTTTTCGAGCAAAAGATTTAAACTTCTGAGCTACAAATTTGTTTTAAACTAAATGCAGCAACAAAGACCAGTCGTTCTGGTTCTCAAAACAGAGCGTCCATTAAAGAGTGTACCACGCGACAATTATTTTAAATCATTATATCGAAGCTGCTTGCGAAAAACACAGCAAACACTGTGACAAAAGGTTAGCGGCACGGAAGTTCGTCTCAGACGAGCTGATTCAATAGTGAGCTTCGTTTGTTCGAGCCTGTTGTAAAATGATGTTTGAGAAAGTCTGCACTTGCTCTTTTCGAAACATTTCTAAACGTTTGGTCTAATCCTGTGCAAACAGGAGCCTGACTTATGGTCCAATTTCGTTTGCACTACTGAACATGTTTCCAGCTGCAAATAAGAGAGACCATCTTATTTAGATACATTGATCATTTATAGAAGTATTATTATTTTCTGTGCGTAAGAGTAAATTTGCTTTCAACTACCCAGCCCCAATCCCCTCACACACACACACACACACACACACACACACACACACACACATAAACACACACACACACACACTCACACACATTGCTACAGAAAAAATATGATTGGCAAAAATGTCAGGTTTGCGCCATCCGTTTTCTCTTTAATGTGTTATGGGACTAACTACAAAACAATATTGACTCATTTATCTGTGCCATCAAGACTTTAAAAATGCCGCTGTAGATTATTTACGCCATCCTGGCCACATTTTAATGAATTGGGAGGTGGACTGCTTCGACCATGCCTGTTATGGTGCGTGGCGTTGGTAGCCTTGTGGTTAGGATACCGGACCGTAATCGTGAGATTGCCGGTTCAGGGGTTCGAGCCTCAGCTCTGTCCGACGTTGTGTTCTTGGGAAAGGAACTTTACACGAATTTCCCATTTGACTGGGTCCTTTCGGAGATGAACGTTAAACTCGGAGGTCTCACCTCTTGAATAACCTAATAGTGTTGAACCAATACCATTTCAGCATTTTTCACCTGTTATGGTCACCAGGAGCTGAGAAAGAAATAACATTCCAGCTGACAGACGTAGATTTAAAAAAAAATTCAAGCACGAGAATAAAACTCATGTCTTCTGCGTGTGGCAGTAGAGCGCCAAACGGTTGCACCACAGAGGCAGGCTTTACTGTGACTTACGAGCTTAAAATGTAAAATAACAACATTTTTTACAAATGTGACATAAAAACATATTATGCCTTTGTCCTCTCACACTGAACTATTTGTGCTCTTTGTGTGTGTACATATCAGTTATAATATGAGCTGCTTATACAACGCCTGATCTGTTGCTTTGTGTGCACAGAGATAAATCAAATGTTAATGTCTTTGCTCTTCTGATGTTTGTGTCCAAGTCGAGTGGTTCAAGTGACTCTGATTTAATTGTAATCCTAAACATAGAACATTTTGAGGGTCCGTAAGCTTCCGGCCTATAGAAAATTGAATCGAATTCTGGGCAGTTTTTTTTTGTAACCAAGACCGAGTGAAACATAATATTTTATCAGCAATCACCCAGAATACATGTACCCAATACTTATCTTTTATTGATTCTCTACTTTCCTCAGTGTAATGTGATGTTCATCATGGTCATTGTCTACGTGCTGGTCACTAAACTCAGAGCCTCTAACTCCATGGAGATTCGGCAGTCCAGGTAAGTAATGCACCTATCCTTGCTCCATTGAACTACTGTAGTTTTCTAGCATAAGATTTTGCACCAAGACACTTCTTGACCTTCTCTTTAAAAGAAACAAACCCTCCTTATCTCGAACAACCGTGTGTTTGGCACCGCAACCAGATCTCCTCATCTGTCCTTTCATATTACGCCCCACCCTTTACCCTGGATACATTACATTGTTTATCTCTATAAAACTCTACTTCTTTGATAGATTTAAACTTTTTGTGCCTATATTTATACGAATTAGATCATTTAGGAGGTGGGCTGCTTCCAGTAGGGCCAATCTGGGAGGAATGTGGCACAGCATCCTCTGAGAAAGACGTGATTTAATAAGTTTTCCGTCATTGGAGTCGAACTATGTCTCTCTTTTGGAGCGAGACGAAGAGAAAAAACATTATGCTGCAGACAATAAACCCCGGTGACCGAACAGAGAGAGAGATACAAGTCGCTACAATTAGTATTTGCACATTATTCCGAAAGACTCATTATCATAGGGGACTTGAGATTCGTATATTAATTTTAATGTTTAATGAAATACTCGAATACATTGTGTTTTATGGTGATCAGGTTTTATTATCAAATGAAATGCTTTTCATGACTTAGTGTCAAATGTCAACTTACAATTGTTTTCTTTTTCTTTAAAAAAATAAAATAAAAGTCGAGGATCTTCCCTGTACTGTATTTGTCTCCTAGTGTCACTATCTGTTCGTTATTTTATCAGTAATATTAGAAGTGGGACCAAATTTTCATGATAAAGATAATGCTCTCGTTGTATAAGTGACACTCTTCTTCAGACAATTTATCAATTACTGTCAGTACTTATCTTGTATTCAGAGTCAAATAATCCGCTTATGAAATCAGTAAACGTTTCTTTGTTGTCCATACCTTCAGACTTATCACTGTCTGCTCTCCAGTTTAGAGTAGAGTCCATGACAACAATGTGTGGGTGAAAAGGTTTAAAGGTGAAAAGGTGAAAGTCTTTGCTCTGTTAAATAATCCAGCTTCATTTCTTGTACGTCGCTTGGCCATTGGTTTTTATATCTAAATCAAATTTCAATTATCCATTCTTAAGTCTAGATGGCATAATATCATGTTTCTGGGATTGAGAAATGCGACCTTATTTCCTGACATCGACTTTAACGAACATAATAAAATTTTAACTACTGCAAGATGTAATGATAGGTTTTATTTTTCTTGTTTTGATTTTTTAATATGTTTTGCTTTGTTTTTCTCTCCTAAAACGAATCTTCTTTCATGATGATGGATATTGCTTTCAGGATAGTGCTAGCTGGGTAAACAGTTACTCTCTTTCTATACCGTAAGTTACACAAGACAGAGAGCAGTCGCCAACACGTATGTTTGAGTCTATCCCTGGCGTCTTCCTCTAGCTTTGACACACCTACCTAGGCCAAGGGGGATTGGCCCATCTCAATGATATTCCATTACCTGCCAATTGGCCGTCCTCTTCTGGTTTTAACTGGAGTACCACTTCTGACAGGGCAATCTAGTACGTGGCATTCTCAAAACATGTCCAAAATATCTTTACCTTCTCATTAAAAAAAATTTAATTGATATCTCAATCCCTGCTCTTTCGAACATTTTGTTTTCTGTGCCAAATTCATTCCACTATATCAAAACAATTTTACATAGACATTTTTTAACCCTATCCATACGCCCTGGGGTCATTTTGTACCCCCCAGGGTTGGATTCTTAACATTTTAGAATACTTCTAGGGCGAAGGATCTCTTTGAAACTTTCAGTATTTCTAAAAAAACCAATCGTTTTGACAAACTGCAATGCAAAGAGTACGGATCGGATTAACGAGTAAATTTCTTCTTTGGAAAGTGGTGGCACAGAGTTCCCCACGAGGTACGGACCCTTTCAAAAAATATTTTTAAATTTTTCAATAAATTGCTTTTTTCATCTCTGAACCATACATCAATACTATTTGATACCAACACCTTAAAAAATTCCTCCAGCTGGCCTATATTGTGGCGTAGGTAGTCTAGTGGTTAGACTATCAGAATCGTAATCGTTAGGTTGCGGGTTCATGGTTCGAGCCTCAGAGTCGATGTTGTGTCCTTGGGAAAGGCACTTTACACAATGTTTTCCTAACTTAACCAACGTGTGAATGAGTACCTGCTGCCCATAAACAGCGAAAGGTCTTGTCAGTATATTAGTTTTTTAACTCCCATAAATGGCAGCTTCTGCTGTTTGCTTCCCATGAAGTTGAGATTGTTTTATAGTGCTATCAGGTCTACTGAGGTAATAATGTGGATTGTTAAACGCATAGACCTTGCTGTTGAGCTGAAATTTCCGCTATACAAATGTGATCTATTAGCTTTGTTATTATCATTATTGTTATTATTATTATTATTATTATTATTACTATTATT